TGTATCACACAGTGGAGAACTAGCTGGTATGTATCACACAGTGGAGAACTAGCTGGTAGTGTATCACACAGTGGAGAACTAGCTGGTATGTATCACACAGTGGAGAACTAGCTGGTAGTGTATCACACAGTGGAGAACTAGCTGGTATGTATCACACAGCGGAGAACTAGCTGGTAGTGTATTACAGCTGAACTTGAGAACAGCTATGGAACTTGGGCAATTTATGCTTGTTTTATTCTTGCCAGGCTACAAGCTGATTTCATCATTTACAAGTAGCAACTGTAAAAAGGTTGCCGTTCATTTCCTAAACATATTTAAAAGGCTGGAAATCGCACCAGTAATCAGGGATCAAAAGATGTTATCTATTTTCCAAGCCAACTAGACTAGAATTAATTGTTTAACAGGCAAAACAAATCATGGAAAAGCAGAATTTTAAAACAAGGTGTGTAAATATTGAAATATCATTGCTGAAATGTGTTCCTAATTTTGTACAAATGGTGTCTAAAGATACAAATTAATGTGATTGCAGCATTTACTTCAGAGCGTGTCTATTATGGGTCCCAAATCAGATGTTGCTGGTACTCGGCTCTTTGTAGAACTGTTTGCTTTCACACAGGTTAATTTCTCTAAGCCTCAATCTCTTTATCTATAAACTGAGGAATTATTATAATAATGACAATTATTTATCTTCCAGAATATGATTCCCAAGACAGTAATAACTTACAGAATTATTTCAATGATACTGTTTGGCATTTTTTTCATTTTCTTCTTCCCAGTTTCCCTGAAATGAATCTTCAAAACAGTTCTGCAAAAAACTTCTTGGTTTCCACTTCTACAATCACTGATTGCTTTATTCTCACAGCAATCTAAAAAGCACTTCTTCCTGTACTAAAGAGTTCATATAATTATCGGCAGTCTTCTGTCAAAAATGCTTGGAAAAATCATCTTTTTAGCAGTTTCTACTGCAGAGAATTTAATACAGAGACCTCTTTCCTTCCTAGAGACAAAAAGACAAGTTATCAAAAAAGACAACTCACGAATAAGCTTTTCCCTAAACAGGCTCTAAGAAAAAGAGAGAGTCAATCTTCTGCTTGAGGTTTATATTAGTGTTTCGAGACAGATTCCCTGAAAATCCAGGATACTTCTGAGAAGTAGAGATAACTTTCTATTCAGTTCCTACTCCTTGAGAAAACTTGAGAAGACCCGGGCTTCAGAGACGTGCATAGCAAGCAAAGAAAAGGTTTTCCAGTCTGATCAACTCCATGCCACCCCATACCACGTTACAGAGAATCTGGCCACGATGTAGTGTGGAATATGTATTCTCCCCAAACCAAAAATCCAAGTGCATCTTCAGGAACCATGTGTGTCTTCTTTGGACACAGAATACCAAGGATGTTCTTGCTCCTGACGTGTTTTTTCATGTGTTGATAATACAGAGTCATTGAAGATTCCCAAAGAACCACGCAAATGATAAAGTGTTTCTTGATGTCAGTGTGCATGTAGAACATCAGAACATTTGCCATCTCACCGATCTGAAATGTGCAAATGACATTGGGGAAAAATGTCACGGTCTTCCATAATGTTTTCCAGTACCAATCATGATAAGCCAAGACGTTCAAGTTTTGTAATGTTTGACATACTCCAATGGAGACACTATTTCACATTTCTACTTGTACAACAAGCCCTAAACCAGCTTGAATATTTCACTCCGTGTGACAAGCATGGATTATTTTGCTGTGTAGTTATACATCTTCTTTCTTTCCAGAAAATAACAAAATACCGTATATTCAGCTAAAACAAAATCCACTTGTTAACACAAGACATACGAGGAGCTGAAGCAGCAGATACATTCATCTGATACAGAGAAAACGAAAGGAGGCTGTTCACGTGTCCCCTTGGCTTGCCATTATTCATTGAATAGAGCCTTATTGAAATACAACATTGAGGGGCCAGCAGGCAGTGTGGTAGTTAAGATGCTAGGCTCCCACATGACCACCTTGGTTAGAGTGATGACCTGGTGGCTTGCTTTCTCACCTCTCTCTCTCTCTCTCTCTCTCTTTCTCTCTCTTTCTCTCTCTCGTAAGGGCAGGGTAAATTTTAAAATAATAATAAATAAACATTAAATATATAATTCTTTAAAAATAATACATTCACCTGGAAAACCAAAGACATCTCAAAAGAGAGCATAATGCCTTTTCCAAAGTGAGCGCAGCTTAACCAGGCAAAAATCTGTCGGGACTACAGGAGGCTCCTCCTCCATCCACAGTGGCCTCTTTCTTCTCGCCAAGGGTAGCCACACTCGACTCCTACATATGACACATATTACTGCTATGTCTTGGAATCCCTACTAAGAATTAGTAAAACCATGCAATGCTCCATGTTTGGGCTCTTTTTCCTCAGCATATTCCAAGTTCCATTTGTGTTGCTGTGGAGTATCTTATTTATAAATATGCAATGCCTTGATTTTCTATTCCCTTGGAGTTGGAGACTTAGGTTAGTTTCCAGTGCAGAACAATCAAAAGAAAACCCTGCTGTGAATCCTTGAGAACACATACAAGGGGTCTTGGAAACATTCATGGGGAATGCGTATTATAAAAACACTGCATGGATTTAAAGAAAAATGTTTGCACCAAAATTAACTCGAACTTCAATTCCATTCTTCCACAGACATTCCGAAGCCCCCTCATCCTTGTACGCTTCTGTCGTGTGTATGTCTAGAGGGGGAACTGCTGGGTCACGGGGCAGTGGAGGCTCCCACTGCAATAGATTCTGCAGAAAATTTTAAAATCATTTCACTCACTCGTGACGTACCTATTCATCTGTTTCACCTTGTTTTTAATTGGATTATTCGTCTTTTCTTCATTGATTTTAATATAGACTGTCTTACAGTGGTAAGTGTGGGGTGTCCCCCCAAATTCATGTTAGAATTTGGTTGTATTATGAAGGTAGTAAGTCCACTCTTAATACCTTCATGGTGCTGAAAGGCGAAGCCTTTGGGAGTGATTAAATGGTGGGGTGAGAACCCTAAGACCGACTCCGGGTGGAGAGAAAGACACACGTGGCATAGACACGCATTCCTGTTCTCTCGAGATGAAATGTCTCAGGCTCACCAACAGGAAAACCCCTACCGCATGTGGCCCCTGGCCCTTGGACTCCAAACCATCAGCTAAATAAACCTCTAGTTTTATGAGGTTTATTTTCTGTTATTAGAAGTAAATTGGACTACAACACCTAACTCCGTCTTAGAGTGCCAAGGGACAGGCTCTGCTTCTTAAGCTTACAGCAAAATGTCCTGCTCTCCAGGGCAGGCGACGGGTCAGATAAACAGAATTTGTGAGGCGGATGCACAGGCTAAAGGGCAACACTTACAGCCGCTCCAGCTTCGGAAGGTCTCCGAAGGTGTCTGGCTGCAGCGCTTCCAGCTGGTTGAAATGGATATACCTGGAAGGCACAAGATCACATTGTTCACGCCTCGTGCTGGTGAGTACAATCAGACATTCGCAGAATTAGCAATAGCTGCAGCTGAAATTTAAATTTTGCTGACCCCAGCTATCATGCATCAGATACAAAATTGGAAATTCTGAAGCACATTCAGTCTCTTCTGCTCTTCCCAGCCCTGGGCATAAAAACCTGACATTGCAAAAGGGAACCAGAGGCCCAGCTAGAGGAGAGCTCCACGCGGCCCTGGCCTCAGAGAGCACCGTGAGCAGGAAGACACTCAGTGGTAGGTGCAGTTCCTCTTCTACTCATTAGGACCTTTGTGGTGGCCAGCAGTGGTGGCACAGTGGTGACATGGCACTTCTCAATGCCATCCCCACAGAGGAGGGTCCCGGGCTGCTTCCCCGGGCTTCCCTGAGCACACACGCACACATATGGACCCATGACCCTGGCTGCCCGAGGCTGGGGGGAACTGCGTGTGACTACCTGTCAGGATTGCCTGTTTCTCTGTCTCTGAAGAAATAAATAAACTTTAAAAATAAATCAAAACAGCTTTCGAAGTAAGGGAAGCTCCAGTAATAAAATCGTAATAATAAGATGCGGTTCAACACAACCACATGCTTATTCACATTTCAGGATCGGAGAACGTGGTCTGGAGGAGGCGAAGGGTGGCACATTCGCTGGAATGCGATGACTATGTGAAATAAATTAATAATGACACCCAGAGCAGATGAGGATTAACTGTCCCGGCTTAATCCCTTCAGAATTAGATTCTTTCAGTCGCCCCTGTCTTCTCAGTGTAGCTGATCCAGGAGGCATTTCCAAAGCAACCATTTCGGGAAGGCTTCTCTTGAAGCAGCACAGCTGGAGACAGAGGTGTGCCCTTCCCTCAGAAATCCGGGGTGACGGGGAGACACCAGCTTTCAAAGCGAAGTCTGCTAATCAACAGCAGGGGCCACGGGGCAAGGCTGCTGCTGCTAGAAAACCGGATCGTGCCTCCTGCCCCGGGCATCTGAGCGGAGCTCGGGAATCTCTGTGCACTTGGCAGTGACGGAGGCAGTCCAAGGCAGACTGCTCGCAGAAAGCCCCTGGGACACAAAGCCACCACAGGGAGGCACATGGGGATTCAGACTAAGCGTGCCCGAAGGGGGGCACAGGTAATGGCACTTGGCTACAACGGGCAGTTACGTGACTTGCTCTAAGGACACACCTTCGAAGGGGAAGCTTTACATCACACACGTCTGCGTAAACTACATCTCTTTAGTCTGCTTGGAAACGTTTTGAAATAAGGTAACAAAGATGTTCAAGGAAAAGGGACACTGGGACTCCATTCCTAGGTTTCTTCCTTATAAAATCACTATCTTCAGAAGAGCACTTTGGACACCTGACGAAAAACGATCATCACAACAGAACGAGGAGATGCAGTTGAAAGGGAAGGATGACTTGGAACTGCCGTAGATTGGATCTGAAGGCGGGGCTCCCCCACACCCCCACACCTCCTCGCTCTCTGAAAGTCTGCATCTTGGCTGGTGGTCCCAGCACTCTTCCGAAGGATGTGCTCATTGTAAAAGTGATAGCAGTGACACTGTGGTAAAAGCCTTAATATCTGCATGCAGTGACAAGGGCCTTGTTACTTCGGATTTCAAACACACAGACAGGGTTATAGTCCAGCTGCTCTCTGCAGAATCATTTCCTGCAACAATTCCCAGCACGTAATAAAGGTGGAAGAGCCTGGAAGAACTAAAGAAGATAGGTGAGGAGAGAGGTTGGGGGAAGACAGGGTACGAGAGGAGAGGGGGAGAGAGACACTGCAGTGACTGTGACCGTAGTGAAAACAGATTTGAAGGGTCTCTTGTACATTTTTCCCATGTGAAATGTTCTGCATTGCTGAATTCCAATTTCGTATTTTATATGAGAGGTCTTCAAAATGGCCATGGAGAATATGCATTATTAAAAACAATTATTCACGGCTTTCAAAAAATGTTTACATTAAAATAAACTCGTACTAACTTGTTACAAAGCGCCTGAACAGGATCTAGTGTGAGGCCCTAGAAAGTCTACAGCAGTCTCAGAAGAGCCCATCGGAGCAGCATGAATTCTATTAAGACCAGGGACCAGCAGGTGGCATGGTGGATAAGGGCGCTGGACTCCCACATGACCAACCACGGTTCGAGTCTCAGACCTGGTGGCCTGCTTTCTCACTTTCCCTCTCTCACTCTCTCTCTGTGTCTCTCTGGTCAAATTAAGAAATAATAATAATAATAATAAAATGAATGAATAAATACAATTAAATAAATAATTCTTTAAAAAAAAAAAAAAAGACAAGCAAAAACTAAGATCAAGTTTATGGCGAAGCTTGGGTGGAAGAACGGTGAAATCATGGATGCTTTCCAAAAAGTTTATGGGGACAATGCCCTCCCCAAATCCACAGCTTACAAATGAGTAACTTGTTTTAAGAAGAGATGAGGTGTTGTGGAAGATGACACCACAGTAGCACGCCATGCACATCAGCTCATGAGCCACATGCTAATCTTGCTTCTGCCCCAGCTGAAGAGGACCAACAATCTGCCTCAGAGATGACAGCCAACACCACAGGCACCTCCGTCCGGATCACCCAACTCTGACTGAAAAACCAGAGTTGAGCGAACTTTCTCCTCGATGGTTCCCAAAAGTGTCCTACTCAGGTCAGCCACAGACAGGAGCAGGGCACCTGTGTGTGAGAAACAGCCGCCCAGTGCCAAAGGGCGGACATGAGCACCTGAGGTCTGGTGGAGCAAGGCGCCTGTCTGCTGGCCCCTTCCTCCCAAACATGAAAATCCCCCGCCGGTCCCTCAGTGGCTGAGTACTGTGGGCCTACAATCTTCCCGATGTCCCCGAGTTCGTTATTCCCTTATGAGGCATTTCTTGTCTTATCCCCTCCCTTGTCTGACTGAAGAGTGCAGGCTCAGGACAAGCCCATGACAAAAAGGCCACCTGATGTTCTGAAGAAGGAGAAGAACCAGGACGTGAAAAGGAGCAAAGGGCTGGTGACCTGCTGCCATCTCGAGAAATTATTTCTCAGGGGCGGCCTGCTGTTTCGGGTTTTATTTGTTCAGGAACTTTCTGGGAATGTGTAGTTCCTGGGATTAACATATCTGTAATCTGGTTAAGCAACTTTTGTTAAGCTATTCCTGAAAGTGAATCAAGGTACTTTGTCACACAGTGGAAATTTAAACAAGTGGGATCAGGATCCTGGAACATTTCTTCAAAGAACTGTAACAGATGACATGTGGCTTTACCTTTATGATCCTGAGGACAAAGCACCATCGAAGCCATGGCTGCTAGGAGCTGGAATTGGTTCAGCCAAAACAAGAGCAAAGATCATGGCAACAGGTTTGGGGGATGCTCGAGGCATTTTACCTGTTGACTCTCTGGAGGGCCAAAGAACAATAACATATGCTTATTATGAGGGTGCTTGGGGAAAGTCAGCCAAAGTTTGATCAGAAAAATGCCTGGAGAAGCTTTAGCAGCGAGTCCTCTCCCACGACCACCCAGCTTCAGCCCCTTCCTCTCATCAGACCAGGGCAATTTTGCAACAATGTGCATGGGAAATCATTAGGCGTCCACTTCACAGTGCTTGCGGCTCCTTCTGATTTCTTTTTGTTTCCTAATGCTAAAAACTATCAAAAGACTCCCATTTTCCTTTAGTTAATAATAGAAAAAAGACTGCAATCACATAGTTAAATTCCCAGGACTCTCAGTTCTCAAGGAATGAACTAACAGCTGGTATAATTGCTTACAAAACCGTCTAGAATTCTATGGAGTTTATGTTGAGAAATAAAGTTCCTATTTGCATTATTGCCTTTAATTCCATTTTTTTCCATGACCTTCTTGAAGTTCCCTCCTAGGGTACACAATAATGTTGATGTAAATAGACACTTCATGATGGCTACGAGTAAGTGCCAGCGAGGACTTCAGAGGTTATGTAAGTAATGACAGGAACCACAACAAACGTTTGCGGCTCTAAGTGCTGTGCAAGCATTGCATTATTTTTAATCATGACAACTATACTGTGTTGTAGGTTCTATGCATGAAAACTCGGGGACGAAGATTCAGCTCCGGCAGATTTTTCTCTTAACAGGTAGACCTGAGTCTTCCTAGCCTCCAGCGCGGAGCAAGCAGACAGGCACAGCCTCGCTGAGTGAGTGCAGGGCACTCACAGACGACCTGCTGCGGCCTGATCTAAGGATCCCAGGGGGAACCTTCTCAGGTGTGGAAATGGATTCTCCAAAGAAGGAAGTGCTCGAGGTCACAGAAAAAAAATCAATGATGGATCTGAGCCACAAACCGGCAAAGCCCCCAGTCGCAAACAGTCCCGGAAGCGCCTTCTCGTTTGCCCCCATTAGTGCCTTTCCGTTTGAAGGTTGGACTTCGCTGGAGGAAGGCACCGCATTCCAGCCACGACCAACCTCACAGGCCACAGGAAGGGTCACCAGCCAGCTCTGGAGTGGAGCCAGCTTCACGCCAACACCCGCATTTTAAAGTGAACGTCAGCATGTGAAGCTACATGTTTTTCCTCCTTCATCTCTTTCTACACTTTTTCCTAACAATTTCTAATTAAAATTTTCGCCATACAGGAAGTTTCAGTTGGGCCTAGCCATTTTCCACTGGCCCTTCTCTTCCTGCCATCATCAGTCAAGCACCCGTGCCCCAGAGCTTGCTCAGGAATCCGGGCCACTAGAACTGGAGAGGGGATGGCTTTCTGTGGGAGGGCGTCAGCAAGGGCACCCCTCTGAGGCCGGAGCATAGAAACCACATAAGGGTTACCACGGCACTCCCAGTTTACCCAGTACCATAGCTACTGGGATCTTTAGGATGATGCACACGGTGTGTTTTAGAACATATAATGTGTACGCCAAGCAATTAAAACCATTGACAAACATTAATTTTTACATTTAGATGTTTACATACAGAAATTCATAAGAAATGCACTATCTGTTCTCCAGAATGTGCCTACCGCAACC